TATGACGTTTTTTGGCATTTTTATGCCTTTCTACACTATGTCGTTGTATTCCCTGCCATACTATGACGTTTTTGTGACCTTTTATGCCATAATATACTATGATGTTTTTTTGACCTTTTATGCCATACTATACTATGATGTTGTTTGTCATTTTATGCCATACTATACTATGATGTTTTTTTGCATTTTTATGCCTTTCTACACTATGTCGTTGTATTTCTTGCCATACTATGATGTTTTGATAACCTTTTACGCCATAATATACTACGATGTTTTTTTGACCTTTTATGCCATACTATACTATGCCGTTTTTTGGCATTTTTCTGCCATACTATACTATGACGTTTTTTGGTATTTTTATGCCTTTCTATACCATGTCGTTGTATTCCTTGCCATACTATGACGTTTTTGTGCCCTTTTATGCCATAATATACTATGATGTTTTTTTGACCTTTTATGCCATACTATACTATGACGTTTTTTGGCATTTTTCTGCCATACTATACTATGATGTTTTTTTGCATTTTTATGCCTTTCTACACTATGTCGTTGTATTTCTTGCCATACTATGATGTTTTGATAACCTTTTACGCCATAATATACTATGATGTTTTTTTGACCTTTTATGCCATACTATACTATGACGTTTTTTGGCATTTTTATGCCTTTCTACACTATGTCGTTGTATTCGCTGCCATGTTATGACGTTTTTGTGCCCTTTTATGCCATAATATACTATGATGTTTTTTTGACCTTTTATGCCATACTATACTATGACGTTTTTTAACATTTTTCTGCCATAATATATTATGATGTTTTTTGGCATTTTTATGCCTTTCTACACTAAGTCGTTGTATTCCTTGCCATACTATGACGTTTTAGTGCCCTTTCATGCCATAATATACTATGATGTTTTTTTGACGTTTTATGCCATACTATACTATGACGTTTTTTGGCATTTTTATGCCTTTCTACACTATATCGTTGTATTCCTTGCCATACTATGACGTTTTTGTGACCTTTTATGCCATACTATACTATGACGTTTTTTGGCATTTTTATACCATACTATACTATGACGTTTTTTGGCATTTTTATGCCTTTCTACACTATGTCGTTGTATTCCCTGCTATACTATAACGTTTTTGTGACCTTTTATGCCATAATATACTATGATGTTTTTTTGACCTTTTATGCCATACTATACTATGACGTTTTTTAACATTTTTATGACATACTATATTATGATGTTTTTTGGCATTTTTATGCCTTTCTACACTAAGTCGTTGTATTCCTTGCCATACTACGACGTTTTTTTGACATTTTATGCCATACTATACTATGATTTCAAATAAAAATAAACAATCCTGAAACCATTTTCTAAAAACTTGCCAGCTTTCAGAAACACGACTGGAGAATTTGGAGGAAAAAAAAACAACACTGACACTGATGAGCGACATATTTCTCTATTAATCCTCATGAAATCTTTACAAAATTGACATTTACAGGGTCATCAGTGCTAACCATAGAGCAAAATCAAAAAGTATTGTACTCTTCTGAAGTCGTAGCAAAAGGTAACAGTCTTTTACATCAGTCTCATTATTTACAGCCTTGACACCTGGACTACAAACAGATGACAGAAACAAATGCACAATGCTTCTGAGACACGCATTACTACAGATGTGTACAGACATGATAATGGGTGGAACAAGCAGATAATAAACATCATTTGCTTATGAAGACAGTCTGATGGCAACGTGACAGGAAGTTGATAAAAACTGGAAAGGCATTTCTCAGCCAGTGTGGTTTAGAGTTTTTGGCTAAGGGAAAGATGAGTTACCTGCAGAGTTTAAGGCCAGTTTCACTATGTTCTTATGCTCATTACAAGATCATTTTAAGTGCAGAGAAAAATAATACAGTCTGACGGGACAGTCAGAGGCAGACAAGGACAGTTCTTTTTTTTCGTCTTGTCATTTCTTCGCCTTGCCTTTCCCCTTGCCTTTCCCTTTGCCCTTCCCAGACTCTTCTTTCTTCTCTGTCTTTGACTCCTTGGTGGCCTTGGCCTTCTTCTGCTGCAAAGAGCAACAAAAGATAGACGAGATATAAACTGAGAAACATAAAGAACACAATGTGGGTTTCAGTTTGCACATGCTTATCGCAGTTGGAATGTTCTTACCTTGATCATAGCGTCAGCTTTGAGACCTTCTCCTTCATCCTCAGACTCCTGAACTCCGTTGTCCATGTCATCTCCTCCCAGCTCTGATTCCCCACCACCTCCACCACGGCGGCCCTTCTTCACAGCTTGCAGGGAGTACGGCGTCAGGTGAACTTCTTTGTTGTATGCACGCGTGAAAGCTGCTTTGACCTGGGAGGATAGTAACAGCATAGATGTCAAAATTCACTGCTTGTTGAACATCAAACAGGGAAGAGATAAAGTCAGTGTATTTTATTTTCTGACGTGCGTTAGAAGGCGTAGGATTTGTTGAACGCAGATGATTACAAACATGATCATCACAAATACTAAAACACAAAGGGGAGTTCAACACTGTGGAAATCAGCATCAGACAGTGCCGGTATCACACTCTGTAATCTTTGCATCTTACACCGCGATACATGCAGCTGTTCATTGTCATATCTTGGGTTACTTTTTGTGAGTTGTTATGATCTGTCTATATTTTGTGATGCTGATTCTGTGTACTGAGCATTTTCTTCTTCCATTTTGTACCAAAAACAAATTCCAAGAACTCTATCACATGGCCTTTAACATAGGGCTGCAACAGAAAATAATTTTCATTATGGATTAATCTGCTAATTATTTTTTTGACAAATTGATGAATCATTCTGTCATATCTGAAAATAGTGACAAATGCCTGTTATAATTTCCATCAGCCCAAGGTGATCTATTCAAAAGTCTTGTTTTTTTTGACCAACAGTACACTTAGATATTCAGTTTATTATCATATATGACAGAAAAGTATCAAATCCTTACATTTAATAAGCTGAAACCGGCAAATGCCAAACAAAGAAAAAACTATAATGATTATTTAAGTGATCAATTAGTCAATGGATTGATGCAGCTTTACTGCCAGCCAACCAAAAAGGCCCAAACTAACTATGGTATCATTCCTTACATTTCATTTTTAACCACTGTTTCAAAGCAAATCACTAGACTCCAAACTATACCCGACCCCCACCTCCTCCTAACCTTAGAGTCCAGTTTGGAATAGGGGTCAGGCTGTCCACCCCAGACGCTGATCTCCATGATGCTGTCCACGTCCTCCTTTATCAGCTGGTAGTCATTCAGCAGCTGCACAGCTTGACCGGCACCCTCTGCTCCGTGCCTCTGAAGTGGGCTCAGCAGCGCCTGCCTTAGGTAGTGCAGGTAGTCCAGGTTCACCGCCTGTCTGCTGCTGAACGTCCTGCAGGAGCCAAACAAGTTAAACATTCCGTGTGATTTTGTGATTGATGAACTGTAAAAAGTTTCTTTTTAAAAAAAAAAAAAAAAAAAAGGTTCTACTCACTTTAAACTCATGTGTGAGGCCAGCTCCTGAACAATACGGGAATGTTTACTGGTGGAGGAATTCTTGCCAAGCCAGCTGGGGAATGTGGGGAACTGACTCATGTAGCCTCTCATGAGCTCGCCTGGTAACACACTGGCATAGATGGCCTACGAACACAGAGCAGCACAATGATGAAGCTCTGGTGCCCCAACGCATAAGCTTGTGTCCACTTAAATGCCATTGCAAGGTCATTAGGTCAGTGCAAGAATAAATTTGTGATAAGGTGCAAGTGTGTATTTACAATAATGTTATATTATATTACTTTTAGTGTTTGCTTTAAAAAAAAAAAAAAAAAAAAGCCAGTTTAAAAAAAGTAAATGCCAGACGTCACATATCAATCTCACACATAATAAAGAAGAGCAAATATAATGACAAGCTGTACTTAGAGTATGTACTGTTGTGCATTGAAAAAGAGCCTATTTCAGAGGCCTTTGATTACTCGATTATGTCAAATTACTGTTATCAAAAATATGCCATTCCTCCGCAGTGTTCCTGTAAAGCATCAGAGACAAAAATGCAAACAGCTGCAAGTTATGGGGACCCCAAAACTGCAACTACACTTCAGAGCTACGGCGGCAATGTAGATACCACATGGAGACTGGTTTTAATGGTTCCAGACTTGTGAAAAGCTTTTCAGCCACATTATTCAGTCGTCTGTTTCGTGCCTGTTTGACAGGAGAGATACACTTTTATTGTAAATCAAAATCGTGTTGTGCCTGAATGCATCCTGTGTTAGAGGGTGGAGTCGGATGAAAAATTTAGAAAAGATGTTCAGGTTCGTTCTCATAGGCCATTTGACGGTCATTTACAAGGTGCTTACCCCAGGGTAAACAGGCAAGCTGTAATCATGGTAACAACAACTGCGTGACAGGGTAACACAAACTCAGTGTCTCAGCTTACACTAACGGCGTCAGGCTCGGTTCGGGTTTGGACATAAAAACACAGAATGCCTGTCAGAATGGGGCCAAGCTCATGTACAACTCTCTCAGACTTGGGTCAGGTTGGTCTTGACAGAAATATGCAGCCTGCACTGCACTCTATCCTGTGTAGACACTGATGGAGGACTGAAGCTGCTGCTGCTGCTAACGTGCTGCCTTCACTACACCGCCTGTGTAGACATGCGTCTGTTGTCTTCTTTTCAGTAACAAACAACTAGCATAGGCAGTTCCACTGCAAACCTTCTGCTCACTGTCACCATCGCTCTCCACCACAGTGAATAAAAGAATTAAAACAATTACTTTGGCTTTCAATAACTGTTCACCACTACTCTCCTACTGAGTGGTGAAACAAGGCCAACTGTTCCATCACCATTCTATATCAGTAAGTGAATGAAACAATGTCATGTTTCCTTTGGGGGACATAAAAAAAGCACAGTGTGGCCTGATAATGAACAACACAACCATCTACTTTAATGTTAAAATATACATCGGTCCTCACACCAGAAAATGGTATAGGAAATGGATAATTTCCCCTTAACCTCTTTTGTTTATATGTGTGCATGTGTGCGTGTGCGTGCATGCGTGCGTGTTACCTGGGTAGGCAGCAGTGACCAGTTCTGCCCAGAGCGGATCCGTCTGTCCACCAGGTCTCCGTCAGAGATGGAGTCCGCTGTCTTGCTGAGCAACACCAGGTGGGACTTCAGATCTCCACTGTGGCAAGAGACAGACAAGAAAATGCAGGAACATTAAAGGAATAGTTCATAATTTTTGTGAAATATGATCATTTGTCCTCAGGTGGAAGCAGCTGGCCTCCCTCACCCAGCAGCCGCTGGACGGACATGCAGGTAGTTCTCTTGGACGAAGAGTGGTGATAGCGAGTAGTCGTGGAAGAAGAGGTCAGACTTGTCGATGAGGCTCATGTGGGCAGTCTCCTCCCCCTTGGTAAACACCTTCCTGCAAACGTCAAATGGCCCCAGTTTCATGTCCTTGCGAGCTCTGGCTGCGTCAGACTTGCACTGGTCATACGTCATCACCTTGTCTTTAGCTGACCACATGCTCAGGTTGTGGATCACCTGGAGAAAAAACAGCAAGCATGGTTAGAGGGCAGACTGAGGAGTTAAAACCTCGGTATAAATGGACTTTTATGGTACTTTGTCGTTGTTACCTGTCGGACATCCTGATTAGAAGCAAGGATAATTTCATTAAGAGCTGGGGGTGGGATCTTAATTCCTTCTTTGAAAGCGATGGACATCATGGCTCCCTGAAAAATTGAAAAGGAAAGGGAGAGGGAAAAGAAATCATGCAAACATCAAAGTGTAAGGAGACACCTGATCCCAACTGTCTGTATTAATAAGTATCTTTAAAAAAAACAGTATTATTTTATAGCCTGTTTTAAGATATTATCCAATTGCTTACCACCAGTCATTAAATACACTACTTGGATTCACTCAGCGTTAGTGTCTTGTATCAAGTTTTAGGCGTTTTATTTGAATTTACTAACAGAGGTTGGACAGAATGTGTGTGTGTGTGTGTGTGTGTGTGTGTGTGTGTTTACCTTTATCTGTTCCACTCGCGGCCTCTGGAAGCGCAGATCGAAGCAGTAGTTGGCCAGTGACCTGATCTTCTGGTGGTTACGATCGTTGCACATGCAGATGATGGGAATCTTTGAACTTCTGATCAGGCCGATCATCTCCTTCAGGAGGCAGGAGATCAGGGGTTAGTATCAAGAACTCATGGTGGAGCTTAAGGGCAGCTGGAGTGGACTTATTATCAGACTGAATTTCTATTTTGTGTCACTTCATTATTCAGTCTGACATTTTGCTAATGTTAGTCGTTTTCTAGACAGAGTTTGGAGAGAATTTTGCAGTAAACGATCAATAGCAAGTGATGTATCCATCTCCTAGCTGTTGCTAGGAGAAGGTAACTTTAATAAAACATCCTGATTACAGAGTTGTTATTTCTGGAAATGGACAAAATTCTGGTCGAACTATCATAAAAATATGTTTATTTACCTGGATTCCTCCTCGGTCCTCATTGCCAGCCATGCCATCAACCTCATCCATGATCAGGACGTGTTTAGTGCTCACAGTCTGAGACGTGCCTGCAAAACACACACACCAACAGTTACATACACCACATAGCGTACACTTGAATGAATCACATGTTGCGTTAATTCTCCAGGAGAAAGGAATTTAACCTCTGCCTGAAAAAAACACCTGAACAAGACAAATTTCTGCAAATGTTTACATTTCAGCAGCAGACTGAAACACTAAGACAGTAGATGTGATGTGCTATAGTCAAAGTACTGTCAGTATTGTTTTTGCTCCCTTAAAAAACTTGGGGAAAATATTAGCACACTGCATCACAGGAACAAGATGATGCTTTGCAGGAGTAGCAGCCAAGTAGCAGCTTCACAATAAAAACCTTTCCATGAAAATTGTTTTTCTTGTGAAACAAGCATAAAAATGTAGTTACAGTCAGTGGAGTAGAATAGCTCAGTGAAAAATTAAATGTTTAAATCTGTAAAATTTAGCAGATAATACAGTGATTAAAAATGTACATGAACCAATGTTTGTTTATTGCACAGTTATCCATCCATACCACTGTATTTTGGAAAAATAGCTTGTCATTTTTATGTGCATTTGTATCTATAAAGGCTGATGTGGGTTCAAATTTGAAATGGACAGAAACACAGAGAGAGGGACCACCTTTGTAAAAGTTCTCGATGCTGGTGTTGTTAAGTGACTCTGCGACGACTTCCTTCAGACTGTTTTTGCTACGAGTACAGCTGGCATTCATCTCCACATAGCTGAAGCCCAACTCCTACAGGCCGACACACACGCACCACATGCACACACGCACAGACACAGAGTTAAAAGGAGGCTGAGGTCAGAGCAAAAAAAATTCTAAGGTTAAAACATTATTTGACATAGCTTGGAGTAATGGCTGCAGCAATACTTCAAAAGCACTAAAATGTGGATGTTTCCAGACTGACCTCACAGACCAGGGCAGCAGTGGTGGTCTTCCCAACCCCCGGAGGACCAGAGAGCAGAGCAGCTTTAAATCCTGATCCATCATCTTTCCCTCCTCCAAACTTACCAAACCTTGCTAATGTGCATTAAAAAAAAAAACAGCACAAAGCACATAGTCTTTAGCACAGGTACATTTTTCAGGGCTAAACTCATTGAAACAAATTGAGTTCTTGTTTTTAGTTTGTATCATTGATACAAACAAAGATAAACTGCTAATCTGCTACCTGCTGGTTTGGAAGCAGTGCTCTGGTTCTTGTGCCAGTTCTTCAGCCAGCGCAGCAGCTTATTGGCACAACTCTGGTCACCCTGCTGGCCAATCACAGTCTTCAGAGAGTGTGGGCGGTACTTGTCCACCCACAGCAGACTGGCATCCTCCCCGGTCGGTGATGGGGAAGATGATGAACAGGTGGAGGAGGATGAAAGGCCCAGCCCCCTCCTGGCCGTGTGACCTGAGCCTCTCCCAGGTGGAGTGCTGCCAGCTCCAGTCTTGCCACCATAACCTTGTGCCAGGCCGGTCTTTGACGGGCTCGGGGTATGAGGGGACCTGGAATTACCCTTGGAGGGAGATATCTTCTGGGCTTTGGGGGTGCTCTTTGAAGTCCGGCTGGGTGGAGTCCTGGTCTTTGAGGCTTTGCTCTAATTGACAGAGGGGTAACAAGAAAACATCCCAAAAACAGTTACAGCACATCTGAATAAAATCCATCCATACATGTAGAGGTGAAATAATTAGTCATTTGATGAAATCACAGGAAAATGATAACATGATCAAAGCAACCATTTTCAATAATTGATTAATCTTTTAAGTCATTTTTCAAGCAAAAAATTCACTGGTTTCTGTTTTAAGTTTTACTTTACCATCTGTTGGGTTCAAATTTTGACACCACAACTTAAATTACCCTGTAGACAGCATGATACACTATATTTCAGTAGATACTCTGAGTGCTGACCTCAGCCTCTGCAGCAATCTCATACTTGGACTTCTTTCCTGGTTTGGTTCTGATCAGCTCCAACAGACCATCCTCATCCAGGATCTTGGTACCAAGACTCTCCGCCTGAGCAGAGTGGGACAACAGACTATAAAGCCAAGCTCTAACAGTGTATTTGGAGGCAGGAAAATGAAACAAAGTCTTAAACTGGTGTGATTGCTGCTGCTTGTGTATTTCTATTACTCTATTATCCGAGTCAGAAACCATAGATGCTATATAAATTATTCATATATCAATATGCGTGTAATTTCTTGCAGTTTGCTGCCTTTTAACAATATTTGCATATATTTGCACACTAATGTTCTAGTAACGAAAACCACAACATTTGAAAATTAGTAATTGCTGTGAGTTTTTAAGTTTTAAAAACCCTATACACATCCACTGTATTTCCAACAGGTCACTTGTGTTCAGTAGAAACTAGATTCAGATTACAAAAACACTCAGTATTGCATATAGTGACTGTGAGAAAGCTTATTATTATGGCATGTACATCTTATCAGTTACATACTGTGAAGTATTAAAGCCTAATGTAGAGATATTTTACGCTCCCGTTCACTCCCATTGCATCTTTAAGTCAGTCAAGATATTAAGGTTGATTAGTTTTCATATGATTATAAAGTCATTAACTAGAATTACCGCCTTGCAGTTGTAAGCCTCCGTCACCCAGCCAAGTTGCAGGCATGTTCACAATCTCCCTTTCCTGTGTTTCAGCATTGAATAATGGCCAGAAGTACATATGTTACAGTGAAGTTGACCTTTGACCATTTCGATATAAAATATTGTCACTTCATTATTCTGTCTTATTAGACATTTGTGTTAAATTGTGTCATAATTAGTGCGTGAATTCATGGGGTTATGGCCAAAAACGTGTTTTGTGAGGTCACAGTGACCTTTGAGCACTAATCAGTATTAATAATTCTGATCAGCTCATCTCTGAGTCCAAATGAAAGTTTGTGCCAAATTAAAAATCAAAAATTAGAAATTTCCTCAAGACGTTACTGAGATAGAGTTCACAAGAACGGGACGTACGTATGTACATACATATGGACGGACATGGATACCTCTGGCTGTCACTGGCAGGGAGGCATACAAAAATCATGCCAGTCAGTATCAGTGCTCACAGCAATCACACACATTTTCTTGAGGAAATTAATTTGTTTGTTGAAGCCAGGTTGGTCACCTTCTCCAGCTTCGAGACTCCGCTGTCCCTGCCCTGCACCACATAAGTGGTCTTTTTGCTGACGTTGCCCGTCACTTTGCCTCCATAGCGCTCGATGAGGGATTTGGCGTCATCTCTCTCCATGGACTCCAGGACCCCCGTCAACACAAACACACAACCCTCCAGACAGTTCTCTGCTCCCTGGAAAACACACACAATATACAGTCAGAGATTAAGACCGAGACAAAGACGGTGGTCAGCAGCTTTTCTGAAGGTTGATGTGTGTGTTGTTACCTGCGGGATTTCCTTGGAGCCCAGAGCTCGTGGTCCATCTCTGTTGAGGTAGTTTCTGTAAGCTGAAGAGTTGACTTTCTTCTTCTCAGGGTCATCAGGACTCGTGTTTGTGCTCTGATGAGAGACGGAGAGGAGGACATTTAACTTGCTCTTTTAATTGTTTTAATGTGTACTTGTGTAGATTTTCACTACGTGTTTTTGTGTTTAGTATTTTATCCCTAGTTTCTGTTTCAGTGCTGCACAGCCAATTGGCCTTTGGGGAAAAATGAACTGATTTATTGATAGATTATGTCCATTATGATCTGGATATGATACATTTCAGCTGTCAGACAAGGCATCTGCAAAACTCACCTCTGGTTTCTTGGGAGAAGTTTTAAGTGCAGTGGGTGTTGTTCCCGTTTTGGGTGTGAACTTCATGTCTGAGCTCGACGAAGTGAGGGGCTCCTTTCTGGGAGAGGTTTTAATTTTTGTGGGTGAAATGGGGGTTTTGCCCTTTGTCCCTACATCTTTCTCTTCATCCTTTTTCTTCATCATGGCCAGTTTGGAGCTGGCTTTGGCAGGGGCAGGGCTCTTCTTAGGAGACGGACTGATCACATCCTCCGACACGCTGCGGTTGGTCTTTGTGAGGCTGCTTGTGCTGCCAGCAGCAGAGTCTGTGCAGCTCTTTTTGGGAATTGTGGCAGGTGCTTGTTTTTCATCAGAGCCTTTACGAGCCTGGATGAGGACACACACAAATTTATATTTAACAACCACTAACATCAGTAGTGAGTTTGCCTTTTAATCATTGTGTTCTTTACCTTCTTTGCCTGTGGCTCCTCGTCCAGCATGGCCAGTGTTTTGGCAAACTCCTCGTCCTCATGGACCTGCTTTTCCATCTGAGTGAAGTCAGAAGAAGAAAGCGAAAGCATGAGAATAGAAAAGCAGAGGCCAAGTTCAATGACAATTAGCAGCAGCAGTGAGAAGATTTTTTCTTTCAAGTATTCAAGCAAACATTATATCCCCATTTAGAATTTCAGGATTCCTCTAAATGATTCATGACAACTTTTATCCCTTCACAAACATTATCAGGCTTGGGAAACACGGACTCCTCCAGCCATCATACTCCAACAGGCAGACACAAAGGGTCATTTTTAATTAGACAGTAATAATACTTCTTTTCATTATCAATTAATCTGCACATTATTTTTTTCAGGTTAATCATTCTGTCTATAAGTTGGTGAAAATTTGATCAAAGTCCAAAGTGACTTCATCAAATAACTTTTTTTAACCAACAGTCGAAAAAGCACAAGAACTGGTTCAATGAACAAGCAGCTGTTATGCCGATCAACCTACCTCCATGTCCTCTTCCATTTGCAGCTGTCTGGCGATTTCCTCATCACTGATCAGATCATCTGTGTCCTGAGTTGGCTGTGGAGGAGATGAGTTTTTACAAAGTCAGTTGGTTGTAAAATAATGATTCATTTAAAACAGTAATGAAAGACTGACAAAAGCGGCTCAATAGGGAATCAGTGGGTAACACTCAGAGACAGTCATGACCTTGATTGTTTTGGATATAGAAGCAGTGCATTATCATTTGTCTGTACTCACAGCCTTTCGTTTGGTGCTGGCCACCAGCTTCTTGTCTGAGCGCTGAATGGTCCCTCTACCGAAGTAGTCAAATACTGAGGTGGGGGTTTTTTTGGGCTGAGGGGGTGGAGCTGATTTAGGGGTGACAGGTTTGGGAGGAGACTTCACCCCAGTTTTCCCTTGTGTGGAGAAGGGCTTGACAGGAGTCTCGGCCCCTGAACGAGGACTCCCTGCATCTGACTTTGTCGGTTTGGACGTGTCGTTCTTCTTGGTCTTGGAGACCTTCTTCAAGGATTGAAAGTTGTCACTGTCCGAGTCTACAATCAAAAAAGAGAAATACCCTATTAGAACAGAGCTTTTCCTAAATGAACCACACATCATTCCTCAACTTTAACACTCTTGAGTCTCCCCAGTTTTTAACATGAATATTTGAATGCTTTTATTTTGTTCATTCCAATTCTTTACCTATTCATTTTCATTTAAAAGCTGTTTGAAATTTCTCTGTAGTGATCGTCATTTTTATTTTTATATGTGTGCTAGAAATAAGATGGTGGATTTGACAACAGTAAGTAAATATCCATAGAAAGGACAGAAAAATCATGAGTGGAGATGTATCTAAGAAGATAGATTTTCTTTTAAGTTAGCCAGGAAAATACGAGAAGTAATCAGAACAGCTCCAGCATGTACAATAAGTCTGAAATGTGATGACAAACCATCACCTGTTTCAGAGACATACTGCACAGGATCTTTTTTGGGAGGTGTTGATGTCTTGCTGGTTTTCTGTTTCTCTTTGGGGGATTTCTTTGACTTCTTCACGGGCTCCTCCTCCGAGTCTGGACAGAAAGACAAAGACGAGTGGTGAAGAAAAGATACAGGGACAATGAAGAGCAACGTGTCAAGCTGATGCTGGTGTAAATCATCGCTGATGAAAAAATAGTCCAGTATGTGGACTTCACTTGAAGTATCAGCTTTTTTTTTTCCAAAAACAAATCTCTGACAATCTTTAAAAACTCAAGAGATAGTTCAACAGCACTTCCATGTGTTTTAAGGTTTTTTCCAGTATCCTCAAAGACTGTTCAAACCATCTGGATGAAAAACATAGTCATAAGGGGAATTATGTAGCAGCTCGAAGTCACACTTACCTGACTCTATAACTGCATGCTTCTTTCTTTTTTTCTCACTATCCTTGCGCTTCTCGTCAGTTTTGGGGCTTTTGACCTAAACATCATAAACCAAATTTAACCCTGATCAATACAACAATGAAACAGAGGAATCCTTATACAATAAGGAAGGCAGAACATAACAATGATGCAAAAGTTATCTCACGATGCGGGAGTTAATAGGAAAGTTTAAGGATACTTTAATGACAATATGGAGCAATGGATTGTCAAAGTGCTAGAAATCTGAGTTAAAGCCTTAACCTGTTAGTTTGGTGAAATCTTTATTTTTTTGAAGATAAAATATACATATAATTTCTCCATCCAGACAACAACAGACCTCGTCTAGCTTAAAAAAAACCTACATTTATACTTATCAGACCTGGACCTCCAGACAAGTCCAGACTAGACTGTTATAGAGTGTAAAGACTGTTCAAAACACAATATGCATTATAGATTTGTGGCAGTGTCATAAGTTAATATTATTTCCTTGCCTTCTTGGTCTCTTTCTTTTTCTGTTTTACCACCTCATCTGGAGACTGAGGCTTCTTCTTCTTCTTCTTCTCCTCCTCTGCCTTCAGGTTTCCATTGGGGGCTGGTTTCTGCACCGCAGCCTTCCCTGCAGTCGGTGCAAAGAACCGCCTGATGTCCTGTGTGCACACAGACAACATGTATGAGAAGTTCTCCATGAAATCAAGCACACAGCCAACCGTGTCCATGTGTTTACATTTTGAGGGTTTCACTTTGTGGCGTGGGTTGAGGAGGAAAACGTATAGTATTAAATGAACACACCAGCAGATAAATATCAACACGAACGAAGACGATCATTATGTGTTCATGGCTAAACTTAAAATAACAGGTTGATAAGTCTATCCTCTTTAGCTGCAGCTAACCCCGCGCAGCGTCGTTTTCACTTTAATTAACCTTCTACACATGTACGGCTCACTGTCAGAGCTGTGGCGTAGTATTAAAATCTGTAACGTACCATTGTGAAGACGTTTTTGTCGCAGCTTTAGTTTCAGGTTATTTTTTTAGAAAAGTCGGACAATCCTGTTTGCAGCCGCTTGGCGCGAAGCGGGACTCTGTGGTCGCCCGGAGATGACGAACAACCGGGAGTTGGTCTGTGTGCGCGCTGTGCGTCATGTGCGTCACTTAGCGTGTGATTTGTTTTTTAATAAATGCAATAAAATAAGGAATCTCCAGATCAGTAAATGTGTCATTGTCACTCGGTGTCATATATTACCAAGGAGTTGCAATGTATACACGCACATATACATATATACATTAATAAATGCACATTTATTATTAGAGATAATGATATATGGAATAAACTGTACAGTAACAGCCACATAAACCGTGAACTATGAGTTGAACTATGTTACATATCCTGCAAAAAAGCATATTGGTTTTCTATTCTGGGCGATATACAGTAGAAAATAGCCTTGCTGTATTCAAAACAAAAACTAGACAACTATAGATTATGTTTATGATTTTTTTCTATCAATAGGAAATGGGAATTAAAGTGCAGATTGGTGTATTTGATGTGATGATGTCTCTTGTGAAGTTGTATCTTGTGGTTAGTGCAATACAAGTGAATTAGTGAGTTATTGTTGAACTCAAGCAATATGGCACTGAGAAAACTTTCACTGATTAATTCTCTTTCATTCACCAAGTGAGCATGACCTCACTAGAGAGTTCGACGTGTTGGCTGGTGCAAACTTGACTGACTCCTGTGTGTTTGGTGTTTAAAGGTGGCAAATGCTGGGACGCAGATACTGGAAACATGTGCCAGGACATCCTAATGATTTCTGAGATGACACAGAGGCATTTGTTACCATCAAACACACCTTACACATAAGATACTGTAACTGTTCAATGACTTGTACACGCCAAGAGGCTCACAATGACAAAGTTGACATGCTGATGTTTGGCAGGTGAAATGTTTTGGCCATTCTCACATGCACCAGGTGTGTTGTCATGAACCAAAGTATTGGACAAATTCGTATTTTGACCCGATGATGTGCTTACATGAAAAATCATCCTGAAAACTTGAACGTCTATCATTTGAACGTCAAGACAATCTGTGCAATGGCAGTCAAGACTTCTGAAACATTTTAATTTAAAACCAAAATGTCAACCTCATAATGGGGCTAGAAGAAAGGTCAGGGAACCACCAAAGTAGGGAGAATACAGGGGCCACATATGTCTGTACAAAATTTAATGGCAATCCATTCATTAATTTTTGAGATGTTAGACCAAAGTGGTGGACAACTGACCAACATTGCCATTTCTAAAGCAAAAAACAAAAACACTCCCAATTACAACCCTGTCTTAAAGAAATCACATTTGAATTAGACTTTGTAGTTTATTTTTTGAGCTGTGTGACACTGCTCTGAACTTTGGGGGGAAGCTGCACTGCTGCCAGCGAGTAAAATGACATTCAATTTGTTTGAACATTTATCTACTGCAGCTACTACAGACAATCACTAGAGAGATGGGACTGAACTGTTGTTCACAAAGTATTGATGGTATGTAGCCTTGTTGATATAACCTCATAGTAAAATAACACAAGCAGAAGAGAGGGGACACTGGGATTAGAAGGAGTTAAATCTGACTGAAGACTGGCCATGAAGATGGTCAGCTGCAATTTACTTGGCCTTAAAAGTTGTCAATGAAAAAAGTTAATTATAATTATATTGTTTTACATTTGATCCATAAAAAGGGTGAAATACTTTTAGGAAACAATCATAAATGTTCCCATTTATTCACATGTACATGTCTAGGACACTACAAATGTGAACAGCAGCAAAGCAACAGGTTAATATCAGTTACCCTAACTTGTGATTCTAGGCTGCAGATTCAGTTTCCTTTGTTCACCATTTAACTATAATTTTGTATTAATAGTTTTGAGTTGATGTCACTGTTGTTCCATTTATATATTATCTTGCATTTTTATTCTTACAAAACTAATTTCACAAGTGCCGTTTTAATTAAACCCACTTTGACCTGCAGCAGAGCAAGTCAAATAAAGAAAGGTGACAAACAACCAGGAGAGATAAATTGGAAAAGTTGGTAATTTATTGGTCATAAGAGAACATGGTGAATATTTATTCGACTTCTGGCTCCACCACAGTGGTCTTCTCGCTGATGTAGATGCCATCCAGGAACTTCCTGATGTCTTTCTTTCTGACCGTGGTGGCCTGTTGGATCAAGGCCGCTGAAAAACAGAAGAGCCCAGTGTGAGGGGAGAAGAATGATCACATGCAGCAAACGGGCCTGCATGACATGAGCACCATTTAAGATGAGATAATTTCTTCAGATAATAAAAACAAGACTTATCAACTTAGATTTTAGATGCATGCTGTGGTTGATGTTGAACTAAACATCAAAAACAACAGGGCATCTTTCAGAGAAATAGGGCTGGGCAATAGTTTAATATTTGTAATCAGACAAATAATCAGACACTTGCTGACTCTTCTCAAATGTGAGGATTCAACACTGTTATATGAGAGCCAACTGAATGTCTACGTTTTGGATTGATGGTCATTCAAAAAAACATACATTTTTCTTTGGGAAATTAGAAAAAAATAATTTCACCATCTGATGGAAAACAGGATCAGCATATTGTTTTTAATCATATTGCCCTGCCCTAAAATCAAAATAGAAACAGTTTCTTTGAAAAACCAAGAAGTTAGAGCCACAACACTTTGCATAACTTGAAATTGCAGACATCTCTGGAACAGAAAAGAAAAGAAAGAAAAGAAACATGCCTTTACAATGACAGAGTGTAAGGACCATGGAAGGAAGGAAAAGAAAAGAGGGCTCCCCTGTAGGCTACAAGGGAGAGTTCGACGGCATTGTCTAACCTCTACGACTGCAGATGTAACTTTTACTGATCCGGTTCCACTACTGTTCCCTTCTCAGACACGTAAATACCGTCCAAGAACTTTCTGATATCCTTATTTTTGACTGTGGTTGCCTGTTGGATCAGAGCAGCTGGAACAGAGAGAAGTTGGGGCGATGAGCAGCACATCACAACACACAGGGATCACAATAATTACAGAGGGTTGAGGAGAGAGACTGTCAGTTTTGTTGTTTAGGCTCTGTAACCCAGTATACTGAATTTAAAATGAAACAACTAAGGTTTAATATGCAGCTTTAATGTAAGGCTATTTATAAGGAATAATTGTAATTAAAGTATATCATGTTTTGTATTTTAGAGTCAGTTGTACTCAGTTTCTTTCCTGGTGATGCTCTGCCAGGCTTCTACAGCACATTCACTCACTGCTTGTTGAAATACACAGGTTACAGTCAAGACATTAGGTTTTGGTCTTTGTTCAGGATCATTGTGCTGCTGTTTTCTCACTTCCTACACTGTTGACCTACAGCACCTATAAAGCTGAAAGTCAGCACTTCATCCACAAAGCAACTGTTGTATTTTAAGACCAATGTGCTGGAGTACAGAGCCAACAACAAGGAAACATGTCACTGTCCTACTTACAAACAGTACCGTTCTGTATACCAGTGGACATGGGGGGGGGTCTACATCAGTTGTCAGGGTGAAGGTGTTGGATTCTTACAGTGAAGTCTTACTGACTGGGTAAGAGAAACTGAACTGAGATCCACTGATGGCATGTTCGTACAATATGTTCCAATGTAGAGAATAAAACTTAAGTAAGTAGCTCAACCAGGGATCCAGGATCCCAGCCCCCAAGAGGCTGCGAGGTACATCTGAGGCTTTGAGATGATTAACAATTTTGTTCAGTGGAATTTTCAAATTTTTTTTTTGGACATTTATCATTAGTTTTTCCTGGTGAAATGATTATTATTATTATTATAAACTGTCACACACCAGAAATGTTTAGGAACCACTGACTTCTGATAAACACTAATACTGCTGGAATTAACTTAAATTTTACATCATGAACACCAGATCACAATTTTCTACATCATTTTTTATGTCTCCTGTCATAAAACCAGAAAAGTAAAACTCAGTTCAGGGGAATAATCTTTTCTGTAGAACAAAAGGGGGGAGGACTATACATGAAATCAGGATCTGACAGGATTAATTACTACACCATGGGACTGATGTGAAATCACTCTGCCAATCACATGCCACCAAGTTCATCATTTGTTTGATAAAACTGAAATTATTTCAGGTAACCTGCTTGAAGAACATTGATAATCTGCAGCATTCTACTGAATGTGGGCTCAAATATTGGGAAGGATATCAACAGGGGATAGTGCCGCAAATCATTCTTGTTCTAATGTGCAGATAAATTATTGTGCCATGTAGAACAGCTGCTGAGAAAAAAGATGAACAACGTACATGAGTTTGACACCAGCTCAACGTCGTTGCCCTCCAGCACCAGCTCGTCCTTCTGGGCAGCTGAGACTGAGCAGACCACACCTGAGATAAGGACAGGAAAAATGATTGTCACATGTGATCAAACCAATTATAGGAAGTGGAACAATGGACATATACAGCGCAATTTTCAAGCCAAAAACAAAAAATAAGTTGCTCAAAGACACCTCCACATGTTGACAGGATGCCCTGAGGATCTAACTGCAAACCCTCAAAATCTTAGCCACAGCCACCACAAAGAACTGACTCAATGGAGCATTGTAATTAATGACTTCTCAAGTATTTAATTCTAGACCTGAAACAATTAATTGGATTACTGAACAAAATATTATATTAAATTTATGTCACCACTTCTTAGAAAATCACACCTTACAGAAAACACTAGTAGTTTTGATAAGAATGCATCTAAGTTCCAAAACTACAATATTACTATAACTGGCACTCACCAGGCCTCATTCTGACACGGCGGATGTACTTCTCTCCCAGGAAGTTCCTGATCTCCACCAGAGTGCCAGTCTCCTGAATGACAACGTTGATGGGGAAATGGGCGTACACGGAGCGCATTTTGTACCGGAAACCCTGCAGTCAGAGGACAGGGAGTCACTGAGACGGACTGTAAAGGCTAACAAAATAAACTGTTCAACAAAAGCCAACATGATTTTTACAGCTACACAGCAGAAATCATGACTACAAAATTATACTAACTTCACCA